CAAGCTCCCTAGCAGTTATCCGTTTTAAGTTTGGTATGCAGCTTTCTATGATTTTTAAAAAGACATATATGTGTACATATATGTACTTGTAAAAATCATACAATATATAAATGTCTATTATAAATGATATCACACATGTATGCATTTTTTACTCAACATTGTATCTTAGAGATTATTTTCTTTTAGAACATAGAGATATGCTATATTCATTTTAACAGGTTTATGCTAGTGTATAAGGATACTACATTTAATTTAGTCATTGTTTAAAATTTCACCAGTGCTGCCATAAATATCCTTGTAGATGTCTTAATATATGAATATATCTTAAAGATTCCTCAAGGATTGTCATTTTGCTCATTTTTTAAAGTTCTTGTACAACCCAGCTTCACCATCCATTTATACTACCAAATTTAATTTTGCCAATCTAAGCAGTGTCAAAGAATATGCAATTTTATTGATGTTTTAATTTGAATTTTCCTTATTCCTTAATCCTAATAAAGTTGAGCCTCTATATATTTATTGCCTACTGGTATTTTTTGTTTTGCGAATGACCTGTTTGGTTTGCTGCCTGTTGTTTTATTGAGTTAATTTCCTTTTTCTCACTTTTTTTTTTGGAGTTTTAAAAATATATAATTTGGACAGTAATCTGTGTTATATTTGGTGACATTAATTTCTTCCATCCATTGTTTGTTTTTTGTCCTATGTATGTGCTTAATTTTGATTTGGCCCATTTATATTACCCTGTTCCTTGATGACTTTTGCTTTTTTTATCCTATTTATAAGAAGACTCTCCTTATCTTCAACATCATAAACGCAGTTTTCAATATTCTCTTCTATTTTTAAAAAGTATTAAGTCTTTCATCCATCTGGGCCTTATTTTAGTAAATGATGTAAAGTAAGATCTAATTTTATGCACTAGTCATTGAGCTAAGAGCTTTACGTGCGTGATCTCAGTCACTCACACTATCCGAAAAGTTTGGCACGCTCACATCCATCTTCCGGATGAGGAAACAAACTGAGAGAGATGCAGTCATTTGCCTCAAGGTCCCAAAGGTCAACATAGAGCGGTCACCTGAAATGACATCCACCACTGAGATGACCCAGGTCTGTGTGTACCCAAGTGCCTCCTCTGGAGTTCCCTGCAGGTTGAACATTGACGGATCACAATGAGAGGAGGAATTTGGACCAAGTAGAGAAGAGCCTCTCTCATGTAGGAACTGAAATTACTGAGCATCTCTGAAGACCAGGGAGACAAGCTCCAAAGCAGGCAGCTGACCTATGAAAAGGACAAAGAATCCCACAGTCTCAGCACCACCACTCAAATGTATCAGCTTTGGGCACCGCTAACTCTAGGCTATGAAAACTTCTTTGGGGGCATCCAACCCAGACAGGTCTTGCACTTCACTGAGTAGAACACCGGTCCAGGCTTGGCTTCTCTCTCTTTACAGCAGCAGGGGGCCAGCAGGCTGCGAGCACAAGCTCTCCTTCATTACCCATTTCTGCTGGGCCCCTGACTGGGGAGGCTAAATACGGGGTGGGGGTGTTCCAAGGGTCAACAAAAGGAGGAGGATGAAGGGAAAAGCCGGCCAGCTGAGGGGAAAAGCTCTTTCTGCTATTACTCTGCCCATCACACAGCCCCCCACCCACTCACCTGTATGGGCTGGAAGCCTGGCCCAATTGTTTCATCTTTCCCCAAAGAAGAGTGTGAAACACACACTTAGAATGCAGAGCGGTGGCTCCAGGCACCCTCGGCATTTACTGTAAATCACAGAGACAGGAGAGAGATGAGTCCCCACCTGCAGAATCACTGAAGCAGCTACTCTGGGCATATCTTACCTGAAAACGGTTTTCCTGCTTCCTCCACAGCCCATCGGGGTTTGGGGGCCAAACACAGAGAAGCTATTCCCTGGGGCAGCATTCTTGAGTCCTGGAAAAGTGTTTTTGATATGATCCTGACATCAAGACCCTCTTAAATGCTGGCATTTTCTGACCTTCCTTAGAACTATTTTCCCCTGAAACCGTGCCTTCCATGCCCGCCCTCATGTCCTGTGGTTTTTTTTTTTTTTTTTAATGTTCTGCCCTGATTATGTGTGTTTATTATCTTCTTCCCACTAATAGACGTTAAGCTCCTTAAAGGAAGGACTGGTCGTCTTTGTGGGAGATCAGTAAATTCTATTTAATTTCTTTTTAAAAAGGTACAAGGAAAAAATTCAATCTTCTTTTTAATAGATCTTTTCTCCAAATCAGCTGCTTTCTTCTCTCTGCTCAGAACAGAATGTAGTCATTCCCCTATTTAAGCCTTTATTCAGGCCATTCTCCCCATCTGGGATGCCCTTTCTTTTCTGAGTTGATGTTTAGACTCTCAGTTGTGTTGCTCAAGCTGCCCTTGATATGCTCATTTTAACTGCATGTCGTATGCTATATAATGGGAGGAGAAAGAAGAAGTGGCCCTTTCTGTGGGGCTTCCCCTGAGTCTCCCTCTTGGCCCTAGAGCTGACCTTGCGTGTCCCAGCCATGGAAGAGGCTGTGCACAGCAGCTCAGCAGGCCTGTGCTCCAGACCAGTCAGTCCTGCCCTCTGCTCTTCATACCCAATCCCATCATCATCAGGCGGGTGACGCCCTCTAGATGCTCCTACTCAAGCACAGATGCTGCTTGGAAGGGATGGGGGTGCTCACTGGGCCCAGGCTGTCAGCATACCAGCCCACCTCAGTTAATCAGACTAACTCGTGTATTCTGTTGGCTTTGTCACCTCGTGGTGGGCAGTTTCCTACCCAGATCCCCCAGCTTTCCTTCCTCGAACCCAAATTCACATGATAGAGCTTGTCCCCATGCAATTTGGATTTAGCAGACATCTCTACTGGTGGATTAATGGGAGAAAAGCAACATTTCCTTTACTAAAATGTGTTGAATTTAAAAAGATTAAAACATGATTTCCTTCCCTCCACCTACCTCAGTGAAGGTGTCTTCCCCTTAGATAAACGTCGGGCTTATTGATTATTGGATTATACATGTTGGTTTCTTGAGGTCATCAGGCAAGGACACACCTGGATGCCCTTTGTAGGGCGCCATAATTTCCAGTGTTGACTGCAGAGAAGTGGATTCTCTGCAGGAAAGGGGAACTTCGAGTGGGCTGGGCCTCTCTTGCCTTGCTCCCTTGGCCGTGGAGCTTGTGAGGGTCCCAGTGAACTTGAATTAGGCCCCATGTGGTGGGCTCTGTTGCCTCACACCAGCATCCTGTTTTGTCAGGCTATCCCAGTGGTGCCCAACCTCTTAGCTTATTTTGCTTATTTTACCCTGAGTCTGGTTATGTTCCAGTTTGGGCAGAATGCAGGTAAGATGTGTATGTGCCCAGCCTGGCTGTGAATGTGGTAGTGAGCGAGAGTCTCCCCAGGACAGCCTGGCTCAGCGGCAGGTGCAGGTGGTCAAGGTTCAACTTCTCCCTGTCCCTTGTGGGCAGTCTTCAGCATTGCCAGCCCTGAGCGATGTGGGTTTATGTCAGAGGGAGAGGTGGTTTCCTTGTCAATTCCCTGCAGGATTACTTTAGGCAGAGTCCATTTATTTTCCGCACCTGCATGAATGATCGTATGGGAAAATGTGGCATAGGGTGTAGTTTTACAACAGGGCAGATAGAGACAAACTCTGCTGGGGGAATGGAGGGAGATTTCAGGGGTTTGGGAGGTTTGAGAGTGAGTAAGAATTTGCCGAGGACAGAACCGCAAGAGCACATGACCATTGAGGGCATGTTTTGTCCCCAGAAGAGAGCTGAGCCAGTAAGAGGGTGGAGGCATCTGGGGAAGAGATAGGAGGTGGGGGTGGGGGAGTGAAGAGCCTTCAGGCTTTAGTGACACACAAAACCTTGAGTGTGACCAGGAGTTTGGATTTCTGTCTATAATAGAGAGTGCCCTTCTGAAGGCAGTATAGGTTGGTTTGATTTAGAAAACCCACCTAGGAGGCTGGAGTGATGAAACTGGATTGCATTTTTCCAGGAAGAAGACCTCCTTGAGAAGAAGGTGGGTGAGTGAAGGCAACAAGCAATTGACACGGATCGAGCATCTACACTGGGTAGCTTTGTGTGCGGCTCTCTCAGGGCTTGTGGTCATCTATAGAGGAGCCCAGCAAGTGAAGAGTTTTCTAAATCAAACCAACTTATACTGCCTTCAGAAGGACACTCCCTTTTATAGACAGAAATCCAAACAGAATTCCAGCATAAAGAGGAGTTCAGCTGCACAGCAATGACTTCTTCAGTCGCCTTCGGTTCCTTGTTGAGGGAGGGTCTGTGGTCACTGAGGGCCAAGGGCCGTAGCTCTCAGGTTTTGGAAGTGGCCCCTTGAAGAAGCCTGTGGGAAGTGATTTGCAGCTGTGATTCAAGTCAGGTCAACCAGGAGTTTCAGAGTTCATGATGAGCCCAGGACACCCTCTTTCCTGGGGGTCAGCTGAGGCAGTAGAGACTGCACACCTGCACTGGGGGGCCCATCCTCTGTGCAAGGGAAACAGCCCAAATGCCCAGGACTTTAATAGGATGGCAGTGTTGCTTAGACTCCCAGGCAGTGCTGTCTAGGTGGGAAATGGGCTAGGACAGGGATAGGTGAGATCTGAAGAGGTAGAGAGCACAAAATGCAGGCATCCCTCAAAAGAAACACATCCAAATGGTTTTGCAAGTACCATTAGCTAATGTGGTTGAGTGTCTTTATGTGTAGAATTATGTAAGGAGTACTGAAGGCAGGTCAAGACCAAAGTGAAATGGTGCCCCTGCTTTCTTGGGGCCCACTTGCTATGGAAGACACTATCACTCATTCATTCATCCCACAAATACTGAACTCTCACCATGAGCTAGCTCTGCACTAGATGTGGGGACATGACCCTAAAAGGGAGGGAAGGCATAGCAAACTAATATAGTGAAGGGGATAATCTGTATTGGTTTGAAAGGGATAAACTCTCTAAATAATACCTGTGAGGTCTTAGGAGGCTGGAGTGATGAAACTGGATTGCATTTTTCCAGGAAGAAGACCTCCTTGAGAAGAAGATGGGTGAGTGAAGGCAACAAGTAATTGACACGGATCGAGCATCTACACCGGGTACCTTTGTGTGGCTCTCTTGGGGCTTGTGGCTGTCTGTAGGGGAGCCCAGCAAGCAAAGGGATACTTGTCGTACACCATGATGAGAGTGACAGTTACACATAAAATAGTGCTGGGAAGAAGGGAGGAGGGAAGGAGGGAGAGCAAAAGGAAGGAAGGACTCATTAAGAGACCATCGGTGGGCTGTGTGTGTGTGTGTGTGTGTGTGTATGTTATAGGGAGGGGCCGCCTCAGGGGACCCTGTGTTTCTGTTAGTCTCTGTGATGTTGACACTGAAGCCATGAACACACAAAGATCACAGACAGAAGGAGGAAGAGCTCTGGCTCTAGTTCCTGTGAGCTACTATGTGTTTCAGAAAAAGCATTAGGGAAGTAGGGAAATGGCTTTTTGATGCTGCTGCTGCATAAACAGGTTTCCCAGGTACAGGCGAATTTTAATGTGATGTTAAAAGACAAAGAAGGAAGAGATGAAGTGCTCAGCCTTTCAGGCCTCTGTGTTGCCTCCTGAAAACCCATCTCATGAAAGTAGACCCAGGAAAGGAACCCACCTGGTGGCAACTCCTGGGGGTTGAGGGGCAGGCTGGAGGAGGGGAGGGCAGGAAGGACATGCTGACCACTTAGGTCTCTGGCATCACACAGAGAACTCTTGGCCAGTCCTCCAGGGAAATCCCTAGAGGCTGAGGCCTGGGAAACCAGCTTCCTAAAGGGCACCCTGTGCCTCAGGTTCTGATTTTTCATTCAGTTTACATAGCCTGTTTGCAGAGCCATCTTAAATATCCTTGCAGTGCATCTGGGGCAAAGCTTAGGGCTGCCAGCAAGGTCTCCCTGCTCCGTGCCTCTGCCCATCATTCTGTCTTGGCTCTGTGAAAGGCTGCCCGAGGTATTTTTCTTGCTTGGCTTAAACATTATATCATTTGGGTTAAACATCACCCTCTTTGGGACCCTCCTTAAGTCTAATTTATGCATTGTTTTTTTCTGGGAAGGCTTCTAGAACTACCCTACCTTCTGCCTTGGGGCTCCCAGGGCTCTATGGGAAACATGATTACTGCACTAAATAGGCAGTCCTATAGGGGTGTGCTGACTGAAATACTGCAGCCTGAGCCCCTCATCCCTCCACATATATTATAGTTTCTCTGCCGAGGCAACCAGTGCCTGTGCCCACCCTGCCTGTGGGCTCTGAAGGCTGGCATGGGCCCTACTCCTCACTGGGACCCTGAGCCATCCTCAGTTGGTGCTGGCTTAAGGCCCCAGCACAGAAAACACATTCCGATTTGTCTCCACAGAGTAACTATGCTTACTGCACACCTTTCATTCCTAATAGGGAGGATGAAAACAAGCATGAATGCATAGGAACATATTGGATTCCTAAGGATTGGGGTGATAGAGACAGTGAGGGAATGAATTAGAGAAGGGCTGGGGATCATCAACCTGATTTGCTTTCTAATTTTATAACCCTGTTGTGCCTCCCTGAATAGCCACGGTAAACACAATCCCCTGGTGGTGGCAAGGGCTTTATATCTAAGAACTGGAAAACTACCAAAGGGACTCTTCCCCTGAATCTCTTCCCTGGAGATCCATTCGCCCCACAATCCAGAGAATGTCAGTCTTCATGGGATGCTGAGATAGCTGACTCGATTCCCCACCCCCTCAACCCCCATCCAACCCAGAGAACTCAGTCCTGAAAAACAAAAGCATCAAGTTTCGGGGGAATCTAACTGTACGCACTGGTCACATGTCGGGGGTGCAAAGATTCTTTTTCCTATTAATTTCCATTGTGATTTTAGAGACATTCTATAAATGTATTAGACCCCCAGCTCCTTAAAAAGGTAAGAGAATATAAATTATTAATTGCATACCCCATATCCAGTATAGTGCTTAGCACGTAGTAAGTGCTCATTTTTGTTATTTGCTGTTAAATTTATAGTATCTTAGTGGGCTCTGGAATTAGATGGGCCCATATGTGTACAGCAGATACTGTGGGGAGCACACTCCAGTAGATGAAAAATGTAGTGTTCAGAGGGTGTGACCGTTCAAGCAAGCAGCCCAAGGGGAAACCACTGTGAGGAAGCTCACAGTCCCCACGTATTTGTGCATCTTGCACTGTTCTTAGCACTCTGCATGTGCTAGCTCCTTTCCTCCTCTCTGCCGACCTGGGAGGCAAGTGGTACTCATCTTTCTTTTACAGATGAGGAAGCCAAGGCAGAGTAAAGCAATGACATTCCCAGGTAACACAGCTGGTAAATGGTTCTGGGACCTCACCCCAGGCTAGCTGATTGGAGGGTTCATGCCCTTAACAACTTCCTTCTACTGCTTCTCTGCAGAGCATGGCCCTAACAATGGGCAGCGTGAAACTGAGGAACACAGCAGGAAGCCGATTTAGGCAAACTCAGCAGGCAAGCATGGGGTTAGTCAACACAAGGGCCATCTCCATGACTGGCCACTGGGGTCTGGAGCAGGGAAGGTCTGGATACTAGATTGATGATTGAGACAGGGATTCATGCATGAGAGCAAGACAAGAAGGCAATGGCCAGAATCAAGCAAGAGAGCTCCCAGGGCTCAGCATCTGGTTCATACTAAAGCACACAGTGCTGAGTCCCAGGGTCTTATAATACACTTCTGAAATACTCCTTCTCTAAGCTCAGTGTTGGCTAAATTCTAGGGCAAGGCTGAACATCAGTCTCAGAATGTTTTCTTAAACATGGGAACTGCCTGAATAAGGGTATGGAAAAAAGCAGAAACGATCCAGCTTTATCCAATGCACAGACTTGCTCTGTTCCCTTACAGTGAATGCATTCTCTTTAGGCCCACCCTGTTTTTTCACACCATCCAACTGGAGCCAGTGTTTATTTCCAAGGTTGTGTTATATGATGGGGAAAAGTTCTCTGGAGGAAAATTCTGGGGCTCATTAAACAGTGGGTAGAAGAGGAGGAGAGAATGAGGGAGGGAAGTAAAGAGAAAATTATAGCAGGATGATGTTTTCTTTTCCTGTAGGAAAGAACCTAAAATAATTGCAAATCCTGTTTAGAGCATTTTTGTTTTTCACACTTCATTCCTGTTTATGCAAAGGAATGGGTTAGGAGATTGCGTTCTTAGGGGGAAACTCTCCCCAGGAAATACATTGTTGTGTCCACAGGACTTTTTCGGTCATTGAGGGAATGGGTTGGAAACCAGTATTTATTTACGGTGGAAGATAATTGACTAGAAGTTCCTCCCATTCTCCTTTGCTTTTATTTATTTGGACAAATTGATTGGCCTCCTTTTGAGTGTAACTGAGAAACCTAGGAATGCTTGTCTAAGATTGCTTAGTGCAAACGCAGGCTGGGGAATACTCCCTGATTATTTGCTGGGGGACTTATGGTGAAATAAGAAAGGGAATAGTGGCCAATACTGTCAAGCAGGCAGCTTTTGCAGGCAACAGGCCTTCTACAAGTCCAGCTTTTTCTTTGAAGTGACTAATGCCTTAATTCTCTCTTAACAACCATTAGTCAAACCAACCCATAGGACACAACTTCAATAGCAAATTGAGCCTAAAGTATAAACAGCATATAATGGTTTTGTTTTCCTGTCTCTTTGGCATTGGCATTTTAACAGAGTCCTTGACTAATACAAGAATGTCCTGGATGGTTGAATTTCAGGAACTGGCCAGAGGCTGGTAGGAGGATTATTATGGGCAGGCTGGCTTGCCCATAATACCACCATTCCACACAGAAAAGAACTTCTCTTATGACTGCCCTCTTTTCCTCATAAATCCCTCAATGAGTTTTCTGAGAATGGGCCCAATGGGCTGGCTGTTCTGGAAGGACTTTAATCAGCTTTCTTCACTGATGGACTGGAGGGAAAGGTGAGAGAATGCCAGGGAAACAGTTCTGCAGTTGCTTTCACTGATTTTTCACAAGGATGAAAGTTTCCTTAGCTCTGTCTTGTGATATCAGCATTTGAGCTGGGAGACTTTGAGAGTGTTTATGAACTTTGGTCTCTGGGAGAAGTGAAAGAGTAAACTGGGGAGAGAAATTGAGTGAAAGAAGAGGGGTTTGGAGTTGAGGACTCTGTTAGTTTGCTAGGGCTGCTGTAACAAATACCAGAGAATAGGTGGTTTAAACAAAAGAAATGTGTTGGAGTCTGGAAGTCAGAGATCAAGAAGTTGGCAGGTTGATTTCTTCTGAGGCCTCTCTCCTTGGCTTGTAGATGGCCATCTTCTCTCTGTGTCTTCACATGGTTATCCTTCTGTACATAACGATGTCCTCTTCTTGTAAGGACGCCCATCACATTGGATTAGGGCCTACCCTAGTGACCTCATTTCTACTTAATTAAAGGCCCTATCTCCAAATACAGACACATTTCAAGGTACTTGAATGGGATGAGGACTTCAACATACAAAATTTGTGAGGATGCAATTGAGACATAACAAGGAGTGAATTTGGGGAAGCTTCTGCAACCAGAAGTCATGTACGTCCTTCTATTCATAGGGGAGCCAGCTCTTGGCTACAGAGCATAGACACTAGAAATCCAGTACCATGGACATTAGAAATCACTGAGGAGAGGCTCTAAGGCCCATATATTTTTCCATTGGTTTTCCAACTTGGCTGCTTATTAAAATCACCAGGAAGTTTTAAAAAACACTGATGCCTAGATACCCACCCTTTGAGACCCTGATTCAATTGGTATGAGATGGGGACCAGGGATAGTAATTTTCAAAAACTTCTCAGGAGATTTTAATGTGCCACCAGTATAAAAGAAACTAGAGGCTAGAGAAGCTCGGTGACTTGTCCAAGATCAGAAAACGCATGTAGACTAGTGCACAGGGCTCCTGACTTGGGTTCTATGGCTCTTCTGCTAGTACATTTCTTTCCATTTCTGAAATACTGATATTCCATTAAGTTTCCTGTGATGGATGTCATGGTGCCCCAGACCCCCTGTCCAGCACTGAAGCACTCCTTCCCCCCGCTGCTAGGGGCATTAGTACACTGGTCCACCGTGTAGAGACTGCTGGATGAAGATGTATGAAGACAGGATAATTCTGAAGGGCCCTTTCACCTGCAGAGCTCCCTGTAGTCACTGCATTGCAATTCAACTACTCTGTTTGCCCAATCCTCCTTCTCCCACTCCTGTCAGGGGAACTTGTGGATTCCAAAAACACCCTCCAACAAATTCCTGCTGCCAGTTTTAATCTCAGAGTCTGCTTTCTGGGAAACCTGACCCATAAAAGTTTCTTCCTGTTCATAATTCTTCTGTGAGAACTTAAGAGTGCTTGCCATGTTGGGTTCTGTGCTAGGTGCTTGGAATATGAAGAGAAATAAAACCCAGTTTCTACTTAAGTGGTTTGCCATCCAGCAGAGGTGCTGGTCAACAGCCACCTCCAATGCCCTGTCTGAGCTGCTGTAATAGCAATGTGAAAGTGGTATGGGAGCACTGAAGAAGGGGATGTTGATGTCCTGGCTAAGGAGGTCAGCCAAGGCCACTCTGGTCTATACGTTCTAACTGTTCTTAGTTGGCTGTTTAGGAGGCTGAATCCCTTCTTGAAACAATAGTCACTCTTACTTGCCCCTACCAACTTGTATGTTCCAGATAGTCTTTATTTCACTTTAGGTGGGCTATAGGAGAGAAAGTGGTGAGTAGAGGAGAGACAATAAAGAAAAGAAAAAAGTGCAAGAACCAAGGTATATAGGACATCATGATGGTTAATTTTAGATGTCAACTTGACTGGGTTAAGGCATACTCAGATAGATGGCAAAACATTATTTATCAGGATGCTTGTGAGGTGGTTTTTGGAACACACTTGCATTTAAATCAGTGGATTGAGTAAAGAAAATTTGCTCTCGTCAATGTGGGTGGGCATTACCTAATTCGCTGAGGGCCAGATAGAACAAAAAGGCAGAGGAAAGGTGGATTTGCTGTCACTGTTTGAGCTGGGACATCCATCTTTTTCTGCCCTTGGACATTAGAACTCCATGTTCTTGGGCCTTTGGGATTTGGGACTTAACAGCAGTGGCCTCCCAGTTTCTCAGGCCTTTGGCATCACATGAATTATACCACCGGGTTTCCTGGTTTTCCAGCTTGCCAACAGCATATGGGACTTCTGTGACTCAATAATCACGTGAGCCAATTCTCATAATAAATACACTCTTATCTATCTATCTATCTATCTATCTATCTATCTATCTATCTATCTATGTGTCTATCATCTATCATCTATCTATCTATCTATCTATCTATCTATCTATCTATCTATCATATATATCATATATATCATCTGTCTATCCATCTACCCACTCATCCATTCATCCATTCCATTGGTTATGTTTCTCTGGCAAACCTTGAGTAATACAGATACAGTTTGAGAGTTCAGTTTGGGCCTCTCATCTGCGACTCACCCTTCCTTCCCTGGAGGATTTTCACCATCACCACCACCAAGACCAGGCCCCCAGAGATCTCATATTCAGCCCCTCGCACGAAGAAGCTCCAGGATGAGAGCTGACCTGTTAGGGACATAATATCAGAGTCAATGTGACACCTTCCAAGGGAGACTTTCCCTTTGTGTCTTAAGTGGTAGAAGAGAAAACAGTCATCAACCAGCAACCAGTGGGTGAGGTTTAGGAGCATCCAGTGGGTCCTCCTGATGCTTCTGACACTGGACCTATGTGGACCGATGTGTGCAGATGAGGTTATGCAGTCCTGCACCTCCAGACCTGGTGGTGGAGAACAAGTAGGGCTGGGTCTTTGTGACAACTACCCCTCTGTGTGCACTGGCTGAAAAGAGGATGGCCAGTACACCAGTACTTAGGAGGAAGGAGGCCCATAACCCCACTAACCTCAGTCTTGTGCCACCTGCAGAGCATCCCCTGTGGGCCAAGCCCTGGTGTGGGCCAGACAGAGGGTGCCAGTGAAATAGAAGTGAAGGCCTTAGCCTTCCAGCAGCCTCCAGCTCAGGTGGGTTGACAGGCACGTCATCACCAGGTGTCTCAAGTCTGGTGGAAGACAATCTGCACCCTGGGGAATCTCAGGCCTCCTGGCCTAATTTGAGAAATGTGGTTTCTGCCACAGACCAGTATTTAGGACAAACATACATGTTTAAAAGGCCCATGAAGAGACACAAATAAGACATTAACATGTGCAAATGGTTCCAGCTGAATAGCTAATGTCAGTAGACAGGACAGACAGAGCTGAGAGCAGGATGTCCCAAACACGTGGAGTCAGCCCATCACCCCTCAGCCAAATCAGGTGATGATGAGGGTGGGGGTGCGGGAGGAGCTCCAGGCAGCAGGAGGTACATTGTAGATAAAGCATTAGTTATTGGAAAACCCAGTGTCCTCCCTAATTGCAGGCAGTGAATGTTGTACGATACTGAAAGTGAATACTGTGCAACTGTATGCATGTATATGTGAAAGAATGAAAATTACCAAGGGGACATGTTTGAGGGAACTCTAACAGCATTACTCAGGTGTTTTGTATGCATGAGTTTATGATTTGTGAGCATCATTGTGTGTAGAATGTGTGCATGTTTCTATGTGTGTGCTTACACTTGTGGGGGCTTCCTTTCTGTTGGGGGAGGCTGAAGATGCCCATGCACTAATCATCTAATCTGCTCTCTTTCTTCTTCTAGGAAGTATTCCCTGTGAACCCATGAGACCTCATCCCTGCGTTGGTCTGGCTGGCTTTCCCTGTGAGATACAGGTTCCTCCAGAAGAGCTGGAGCTCCATTCCAGCCCTGGACTTCTCCTTGCTTCCAGACTTCAAGATGAGAAGCATTTTTCCAGTCCACAAGTGTTAGAGGACGCTGCCGATGATGTGTGTTTTGCCCAGGCTGGACTCAGCTTCTTTGGGTAAAGGTTAAGTTTTCTTCAAAATAAGAGGAATCTAGAGAAACTGAGACCATTAAGCAAATTTTTAGAAGTAGATGAGAAGGAAAGTTGGAAAACAAAGCACACTTGCTTACAGAGAAACTAGGAGATCACCTTTATTAAGAAAGCACCTTAATTTGGGGCAGAGAGGGGTTTATAGAAAGTTGGTTGGAGAGAGTGGAGCTTGAAGTAGAGCTAATTTCCTGAATTCTTGGGTTAAAGACTCCCCATGGCATCCCTTCCCAAAGCAGATAGCAGTAAAAGGAGCAGGTTTGAGCCAGGGAAGCTGATGGTCTGGCTGCACAGCGGGCAAAGGACCCTGGGGCCTGGATAGCTCGCTGCATGGCTCTTTGCTGATGGGCCTGGAGGAGGGAGAAAGCAACAGCACTGGGTGCCCACGCCCGACTCCCAGGGCATTTAAGGTATCTGAAGCGCAGGCAGGACAAGGGGTGTGGAAGATGCAGTCAGCTTTGGTTTCCTCCTGCCTTCACTCACACAACCCTGGCTTTGTCTCTCACCTGGGGCCCCCAACACTAGGGCAGTGATCCTAGTAACTATCACCTGCTCCTCTTCCTGTCCACAGATCCTCAATGCCTGGGCCCCGCTCCAAGGCCTTGCTCACACCTTTACATCCACCCAGAGTGCCCTTCACTGCTCTACACTGATTTAAACACCACCCAGTTTCCAAGGCTTGGTTTGAATACCGCTTACTCCAGGAAGCCTTTTATGATATCTTTAGTTCCCCAGTGCTCTTGGATTCTGGACTCTTCTGATTTTCCTCCTGCTTCACTGCCCATATCTCACTCACTCCTCCTCCCACCCACCCGAATGTTGGAATACCTACAGCATCGTGCTGGGCTCTCTTTTTTCCTTTACAAACACTTCCTCTTTTTGGGGAAATTTCTTTACCTTGTGGTTTTAATTACTAACCTTATATCAGTAACTCCAAAATTATTCAAGTGTGTACACCTGGCCTTTTCCGTGATCTTGAGACTCAGGTACCCAATTGTCTTCTCTTCACCTCTACTTGTTCATCTAATAGGAATCCCAACCCTCAGACATCCCCAAAGGAGGCTCTGTTGCCTTCTGTAACTTCTTTTCCAAATCTCAGTAAATGGCACCACCACCACCATATACCTAGTTGCTCAAGCCAAGCAGAAGCCTAACTCTAATCTATCTCATCCTTCTATTCCCTGGATATCTTTCATTGACAAATCCTACTGACTTTGCTTAAAAACATAGTCTACGTTCTTCTAAATTGTTCTCTCTCAACCCAGGGCAGGCGACGATCTTCACAATCAGGAACATTGCAAAATCTTCTTTTCACTCATCCCCTTGGCTTCACCTGTTACCTAAATCCACTCTTCACAAAGTCAAATGGTATTTTTAGGACATAAATGAAACCATGCACTCCTCTGCTCAGAACCCTCCAGGGTCTTTCTATTATGCCGAGGATAAGATGCAAATTTCTTATCCTGGCCCACGTAGTTGAGTTTCCTGGGGTCTGGCCCTTGCTGGGTTCTCTGATGTCATCTCTTGTTCTGCTTCCTCGTTTGCTCATCCCACTCCACCTACTGGTTCTCAGAGACCCTGAGGTTGTCCCCACCTCGGTTCCTTGGCACTGGCTGTTTCCTTTGCCTGGGATGTCTTGCTCTACGTCTTCCTAGGGCTGGCTGCTTCCTGTCAGGCAGGTCTCAGATCAGATGTCACTTCTACCAAGAGGCCTTTTCTGACCCGGTTAAAGCAGCCCCTCACTCATCCTCTCTCCTGCACCACACTGCTTTATTTTCTTCATAGCACTGATGACACCCGGGCACTGTGTTGCCTGTTTGTTGGGTTTATTTTTTATTGTCCATCTCCCCACACCAGCATGGAAACTCTATGAGGAGAGAAAGCCCTCCTGACTCACTCCCCAACTCTATCCCAGCCTTTAAAGTGATGCCTGGCCCAGAGCAGGCACACGGCAAATCTTTACTTAACGTCTAAATAAATAAATGGGCCCCAAAGAGATGCTGTTTGATTTGGAAAGCTTTGATTTCCTTTTTGGGAAACAAGTTCTAGCTGACTACAATTTTTACTCAAAAGGATATATATAGTCTGTGTATTTTACCCAAATAACATGCATTGCAGTTTCTGTCCTTTCCCTAATATTTTGACACAACTATTACTATGTATTATTTATTTGTTATGGAAGAGATGGACCATATCAGGTCTCCATGTTTTTGTTGATAAACTCTCGAGCATTGGGACATTTATCTCCAATGCGTCTTCCTCTCAGCAGCCTGGCAAAGAGGCAGTGCTGTGCCAGGAAAGAACACCCAGGCAGGACTCCAGGGTGGGGACTGCTAATCTGGCTTTGCCACAAGTGAGTTAAAACCCATTTGGGAAAGTCACTTTTCCCAATCTGGTTTTCTAGGCTGCAAGATGAGCTTAATAATTGTAGCCCTTCTGCTCTGATGAGGCAATGGGAAAGAGGAAGGAGATAGTAAGCGTGTATATTTAAAGGGAAGGTAGTTGTCACTCTTTATTTCTTCACTCATTCATCCATCAAATATTTCAGAGCAATGCACTGGGCTAGCTAATGCATGGATGAAAGGATGATGGGATGGGCACTTTTACCCCTCCCAGCCTCACGTGTCTGGTAGGCTTGATGCACACCAATGATGATGGCTGAGAGGTGCAAGGTTACATAAGAGAGGTGCAGCACTGTGCTATGGGGTTCAGAAGTGGGATGGTCTCAGCTGGGAGGCTCCTGAGATAGGAGAAGACGTTGCCTTGAGGAAGCCAGACCTAACCAAAACCAACCCCTCAGGGGTCTGCAGAGTACCCAACCCAGGGGCCAGCACAGCTCCAGCAGGCTGCGGACAGTAAGGTGATATCTCCCAGCCAAGGTCATCCTCCATGACCCTTCAGTGTTGAAGCTTGAATTGACTTGACTGGCAGATCCTGAGGCTGTGGAGCAAATATTTCTCCTTTTCGAATAAGACTTTAACATTCACACAGAGATAGAAGAAAAAAAAAAATACAGGCATTTATTGTCTTATATGTGCTGTTAATTGATTGATTTTGAGCCTTTTTTGCCTTGCCTCAATGGGGATTCAGTCTTGTTTTCCCTGGGGGAGCCAGGCTGCAGGAGGGCCTGTAGAGTTGCACTGGGTTCTTTGGATCTGATCTCGCTTACAGCTACTATTTCCAGTAGGCAAAATCTTTTGCTCCAATTAACACCATCTCTGTTGCAGCCCAGTTCCCTCTGTTCTTCTTTCCCTGAGTAAAGCTTCCCAGGCGTAGGGCAGACAAGAGCCCTGAGATCAAGGCCCTTCTGGGAGTTGCTGGAAAAGACCAGAGAGGTAGCTGAGGGTATTTCTGCCAGCGAATCTCCAATTCTATGTTTGCGCGATGCACACGGAAAGGGAAGGCATCCCTGAATTCCTTCCATTACAGATTGGAATGGCCTTTGACAGAGAGTTAAGGTGTCAGCATAAAATGAAGGACCAAGTCTCTGGGGGGGGGGGGGGGGAGAAAGAAATGTGACAAAGCTTTATTTTTATTTTTTAAAAAGGAAAGTACAAGTTCTATTTATTTGGCAAATGGAACGAATGCTGTCTGGAATAACATGACTGCTTTCCTTCTTTTTTGCATAAACAAACTTTTGCAACACAGGTGGGAGGAAATCAGGGTGAATTTGTCCCCCCTAGCGTTGCCAAATTTAGCAAAGAAAACTACAGAATGTATAGTTAAATTTGAATTTCCGATAAAGAATAATTTTTAGTATAAGTATATCCCATGCAATATTTGATATTGAAACTAAAAAAATAATTTGCTCTTTATCTAGAATTCAGATTTAGCTGGCTGCTCTGTATCTTATCTGGCAACATTACCTTCCATAGGCCTCAAGTTACTGCTGAGCCCACTCAGGAGCTCTGCTTCTGGGGTTGTCCCCTGCCCAGTCCTCCAAGGATCTGGTGCTGCCTTCTTTCCAGATTCTTATTCCAGGGCAACACAGCCAGGGTTTCTGTGGGAGATTCTCCTCCTCGCAGTACTTATCCCACAGTCCCTGGCTCCTGGGATTACCCAGAAACAATCATGTAGTGAGGTTTAATAACACATGCAGGTGTGGTCTTCCTTCCAGTGGCCCAGAGCACAGGACTGTCTGTGTTGGTTGCACAGTGGAAATACGGGGGAGCTTTAAAAAAATACTGATGCCTGGGTCTCATCCCCAGAGATTCTGAATTAATTGGTCTGGGATGTGGGCCACCTACTGTGATTTTTAAAAATCTCCCCAGGTTATTCTAGTGAGCACCTAACACTGAGGACCAACCTTAAAGCCACCAATGCAGAAAAGTGCAGTCCTGGCCTGAGGTCTCATTGACTTAGAGAGAGCCTGAGTATACTCAGGGTTACAATAGAGAAGAAAGCCAAGTAAATGTCTTGGATGCACTGGAATCTACAAATCATTTTTATGGCTCTGGTCCTCAGACCTGTGTGAGGGATTCAAGGCAATGAGCTCTGAGACCTCCGCTGTCCAGAGTCACAGCACACATGGGGAGAGATGCTTCCTCTTCTCCCTACCCCATCAGTGCTGAAACACTACCTTACATAGAGCCACGGACTGGGGACATCAGAGTCCAGTGTGTGTGACGGAGTTGGGGCTGGAAAGAGAGGTCAGGATGTGCTGCAAGCCGGGGAAGGCTGGGCAAGAGCAAGACCAGGGCGGCCTCAATGGCCCAGATGCTCATTGCACTAGCGAGATGTGAGAAGCTTCAATCCCTCCTGAAGTGGGGAGAGATGATGCCAGGAGAAAGTGACTTGGTATGTGAGGGAGGAAAGGAAGGCAGGCTAGTGTGTGAGCTCACCATCACAGCTGACACTTAAATGTATGCGCTAGAAAGGCAGAGAGTATGAGTGTAATGACAGTAACAAGAGCTGTTATTCCAGTACTATTGAATCTTATCATAATGTCATTATTACATATAATATATTCTTATTTTTGTTAAAAAGTATAATGATATTAATGATAATTCTGGTCTACAGTTTCTTGTCCAAATCCACGGGACCATACTTTTTTCAAAATCAAAGTTTGCAGATTTCCCAAAGGCAAAGCGATAAATAATGTGTATAAAGCAAAACCCCAGTAGCAACTGTGGCAGTATTCTAACCAAACATACTCACACTTTTGCAGCAAAAGTTATGAATATTGATCCTAAGTGGGGTGAATAAGCATTATAAAAAAACCTAATGTCTCTCCAGGTCAGGTTATAAAAAACCTTTTGGTTTTTTAGTTTTTTTGGATTCTGTGATTGTGGGCTTGTAATACCTACCTAGATAATTTGTGGAACATTAACTATTTGGTAAGCAGTGTGCCAAATACTTCAAATACATGATCCCATTTAAAACTCACAGCAGCGCTGTGAGGAAAAAAAACTAAACATTATTATAGGTGGAAATTGCTATTTCCCCTATTTCACAGATAAAGAAAAGGAAGCCAGCAAGGTTGAACAACCTGCCCAAGCTCTAGGCCCATGGCTATGGAGTAGAAAAGTTAGAGCAGGAATTCAAATTCTGTTCTGACTCCAGAGCTGAACTACCCTGCCAGGGGGAGCTGCCAGTGGGGATGCTTTGGAGAGGGGTACACATAGTGCCTGGGTACACACACATAGTGCCTGGGTACACACAGAGACATGCACAGTCATGGTAGTCTCGGCAGAGGTGTGTGTCTATATGCAGAACATGTGCGATTGCTCTTGTGTGAAGCTGTGCGGATGAGTGTGTGTGTACCATAATTTGTGTGCTTGGGCGTCTTTCTGTGCTCCTGCATATCTGTGTGCTGTGGGAATGTCTTCTTGGTGTAGGGAGTGTATGGGCATGACACCCTGTGTCTTTGTGTTTGTGCCGTCTCTTCTTGACTCTGCATGAGCAGTTCTGGAACAAGGAGAGTTACCCTTGTGATATGTCTGGTTTCACAATGTGTGCAGCCCAGGGAAGAGGGCGATTGAGTGGATTTCAGTCATTCTCAGGAGAGATGGAGTGTTCCAAGGGAGACCTGGTGATGAAGACTGAGTGCAGGCCCCAAGTGGATGAGTTAGTCAAGGTCAGTGCACAATCACCCACGGGCCCAGGGAGCTCCTGCAAGCACCTCAGTGCGGTCAGTGAACTTCGTCTTGGTTCAGTTATTTTTGAGGGGACTGTCCTCTGGATAAATGAAAGAAATCCAGATGTTCTCAAAGGTTCTTAGGAGAAGGAAGAGATAAAGATGAAAGCCTTTTGTGGAGACCTTGGTTTTGCATTGTTGGTCTGCATATTGGGCAGCCAGCAGGGCTGCATGCAGTAGGTGGGAAGGAAGGCTGCTGCACAATTGTTTTCTGTTTTCCTAGAGCATGCTCTGGAGAGTGAACCTGGGGAGGACCCAGGCTGAGACACCCTATGCCCTGGCAAGCAAGTTCAAGTAAGCAATGACCCTGAGAGTCGGAATTCACAGCTCAGGCCTTGGGCACTGTGAATATTGGATGGCAAACTTCAACACACCAACTCAGGGACAAAAAAAAAAAAAAAAAACCTAAAACCACAAACAAAAAAAACGACTGTATTGCTTAGGGTTCATTGTCAGTCTATACTCTCTATGAACCCCTGACTGGTACTACAAGGAGAGAAAAAAAGGGAAGAAGCTAACACATATTGTCTAATGTGCCAGGTGCCTTGTTAGTCATTTTTCATGCTGTATTTTGTTTCTTCCTGAGAGCTAATTCTAAGGTAGGTATTACTATTTTATTTGCATTTTAAAGAAGCTCATGAGGGTTAGATAGCTTATTTCCAGTCATCCTGCTAGCTGGGATTTGAACCCATGACTCTCTGACTACAATCCCTTTATACCACATTGCCTCTGAGTTTCCTCCCTTCTCAGAACACTGTTGCCAGTAGACCCTGAACCATAAACTGCAAACACATTAGTTTGCATTGTTGTAAATATTTCTTGTGTTTTCTTTAATACAATTATAAACATTTCAAGTACAGAGGAGATCTGATACTATAGTCGAAAGTTCCCTAAACTGGAGCTCAGGAAAACTGAGTTCTAGACTTAGTCCTTTATCACTTCAGATTCCCTCATCTGGAAAACAAAGTGGTTGGCAAAGATGCTGGTATAAACCCTTTTTAGTTAAAGGTGGGTTAGGTTGTGACCCTGAGAAGGGCTTTGTCTTACTTCTGAGTTACCTGAGAGTCTGTAGCACAGAGTCGGACATAAGGTGACATTGGTAAATGCACTAAATCCTTCATTATATCAAGTGTTGTTAATTCACGGTGATTTTTAAAACCAACAAATG